CCCCCCCCCAGCAAAAAGGTTCTCGAGCCGGCGGAAAGCGACTCCCTCTCCAGAGCCTCCAGACAAAAGATCAGAGACTCAAACTCCTCCGGCCCCTGCGCCTCCCCGCCCGGAGCAGCCCGCGCCCTCCAGCCCCACAAACTGTGTATATAGCGGACCTCTCCGTCCTCCGCCGAGGTGGGGAACCAAGTTTTATTGGATTCTTGGTGTATAGAAGTTCGTCCCATTTGTAAACCGCGGATTGGTGCCCTTCTTCTTTCCTCCCCCCCTTTCTTTTTTTCCTCTTCCTCCCTCCCCGAAAAAGTGATGGACTTTTTTTCTTCTTTTCTTCCTCCCGCCTCCCTCCCTCTCCCCTCCTTTTTTTAGTTCGCCCATTAAAGAAAAGTAACGTGGAAGAAAAAAAAATGGTTTCTTTTGTAATTGTGATATATTGAATATTGTGTTCCTTTTTAAGAGGCAACTTGATTGTAAACTGCATTTCAACTATAGACTGGGAAGAAATACCGTGCCAAAGTCTCCATTCTGTTACTCAAACACACACACACACACACACACACAAACACTCTCTGTGAATGTATTTTTTCTGTTAGCTGGGTTTACATGTGATGTTTTAGTGCTTTTGCAAGTTCAATTTGTTAGTTCCTGTTCGGAAGATTGTGAGGAAAAATAAACGTTGTGCCGTTAGCTTTTTCCGTAATAACACCCTTCCTCCTGTAAATACCTGTTACCATATTTATCCATTTGTAATTAAATTATGGTATTAACTTGCTACAGAGGAAACAGTATTTATAAAGAATGTTTCTTAACTATAAATATGTACAATTGTGAGCATAAACTGTTTCAGATTTTTTATTTGAAGGTTTAAGTGGTTTCATCATTTCTTGTGATATGTTTTGAGAGTAATGCATACAGAAATATAATAAAACGTGTTGAAATTGCACGGGCTGCTTCCTTTTTACGCCAAAGGCTCTCTGAGGTCTGGTGCAAGGCATGTGAGGGTCCGAGTGCAGGATGCAAAACAATAGATTTTTAGAAATCCGTCGGTTCCTGAGACGTGAAGGTCTCTTGCAACTGTCCTCCCCCGTCTTTGCATGTCGGGAAAAGACTAACATTTTGGGAAGGCTCTGCGCGAAAAAAAGGGCGAGCATTTGCATGCTCTCCACATGCCTTGCGAGGAAGGAGCTCCTTTAGAAAGCGCTTTACGTGGAAAGAGCACGGTCTCGTCCGCCCTCTGCTTATGCGTGTTTTCCGTGTGCCCGTGTAACCGGGGGACCGCTTCCTGCAGGGCACCTCGGCCTCAGGGTGGCCTGGCAATGCCAGGCGCTGGGCTTCACCCGGGCTGCCTTTCCCACCGTAACCGCGTCCTTCCCGGCCTCCCTATATTTTTTGCAGCCTCCGTCCTCCCCCCTCCCCGTGACAACGTGTGATAGCTCAATTTTCCCTTCAAGCTTTTTTTTTTTTTTTAACCCCGAGTGTGATTTTTAGTTTTCAGGTGCGTTCAGCGAGGGCTCGGCCGTGGCCACGCCAGGTCCCGCGGGGGAAGGTGGCGAGGGGCGGCCCTGCCAGGCTCCCCCATCGGGGCCGTCGGGGCCGGCGGGGGGCCCCCGGCGGCGGGGG